GTTGTGTTATATACTTGGTGTATTATTTAATTGCAAAAAATGTTTCCCCTCTGTTGGTGTACTTGCTAACAATATTGTTTTAGTTAATTTTGTAATATTGGTTTTTTCTAATATGCTATATTTTAAGTGGATCTCAGGTTGCCTAGGGTTTATCAGGATCTCACCTTTATATGAATACGTGTATATATATATATATATATGTTTATATATATGTATATATACAGGGTGTCCCAGAACTCGCGCCACAGAGAAAAAGGGGGCGTGCCGATAGCAATGGAGATGCCAAATTTAAAAATAAAAAATTTCTAGGTAATAGTGTAATCGAATGAGAGCAAAAAAGCGGCAGCCAATACCGAGAGCTCTCGCCTAGGTTAAACGTAAGAGCTTTAAAAATTGCTAGGAGACGATAGAACATTGTTGTATTAAAAACATTTAAAAATCTTTTGGCCAACTGTATTTACTAAGTTGTCAAAAGCTTTCAAAAATGAGGTTATTAATCTATGACTTATACTTCAGAACGCGAATGTTTTAAAATAACGATTAGGAAAGGGCTGGGAAAAAACTCGCGTTGTCTCCCTGGCGTTGCGCCCACACTTAATAAATAAGTATCCTAGCAATTTAAAGAATTCCGTATGGCCATCTATTGGGATTGGCTATCGTTTTTTATTCTTATCTCGCTTATCCTTTGCGTTAGACAATTTTAATTTTATAATAATAATACTTTATTAATCCAACAGACAATAGTTTATATAAAGGATATAAATTATTTAGGTTACAGTGACAAATTACAGTTATAGGTTGATGAATTTAAAATAGCTTATTAGGACAAAATACCATAAATAAAACAACTTTGGATAATGAGCAAATAATTCGAATAAATGAATTTAACTTATGGTTAAAAATATCACAATTATTCAAAATTTGGTTATAAGTTCCACACATCGACGTCAATGGAGCATGCAAGTGCTGGTTTTTTGTATAATCATTTAAATAAAAAGTTGGACAAAATCTTGCATTTAATTTAGGCACGTGAATATTGATTTTAGTGGTTGTTCAGGGTCCAATATTAATCCATTAAGTAGCTTATATGAGACATTCTTTTACATATCGTACGGATTACAGAAAACATATTTTTTCAAATTTTTAAAATGACTTAATTTTTTTTTACAGCATCTTTTCATAAATTTAGCCGACCCCTATATCGGAATTTTTGCAGAAAATTTATTTTTCCAAAGATATATTGATTTAAACTTTTGATAAAATTTGAAAAAATGCTGAATTCTTTTGTACTTAAAATTCATTATCTCCGGTTCTACTGATCGGATCGATTTCATTTTTTTTTTATTTTAAACCATATTACATAGTCTTTTTAGATAAATATTTAAAAAGTTTGTGTTTTGTTTATTATATGAAAAAAATATTTTTTTTTTGTATAAACAGATTTTTTGTGTTTGCCCCCTCTATGAAAAAAAATTAAAAAAATACTGTTCTATGCACTATTTATTACTCTACAAAATGAACTTTTCAGAAAAATGGAGACTTTTTTGGATCGGAAGATATTAAATATTTTCGAGCGCGTGACCAGTACAAGCCGTAAGGGGGCATCCATTAATTACGTGAGGCGTTTAGGGGAGGGAGGGGGTCAAGCCAAATCTCATCAATTCTCACGTAAGGGAGAGGGGGGGTCTCGGCAAATATCACGTAATTTTTAACAAAGTATGTTTTTTTAATAAATCCGTATAAACATTAAAAATAAGCATTTTTTAAAATCTCACGTGAGATTAAATTGACTCACGTAATTAATGGTCACCCCCTAATCAGACATCTTCGAAACGCTAACACATTTAGGATTAGTGATGCCGCCGATACGAGATTTTCTCTCGAAAAAAGGCTCGAGACGAGAGAATGCCCTCTCTCGCTCTAGAATTTCTCGTTTCTCTTGATCTCTCTCGTTCTCTCGATTATTCCGGTAATAAGTAAACAATTTTTTTTACATAAAAATTTTAATTTTGCGATATTTATTTGGACCAATGAGAACATTATTCGCATTTCATAATAAACAAAATTTGTTCCTGTATAACGTTTTATTATTTTATAACACAACTTAAGGTTAACCAAGAAAAAAATTACTTATAAAATAATATTAATTTTTAAAATTTACCCTGTATAAGCACATTTATGGCACTCCTTATACTATTAAACAACCCGTATGCTTAATAAGCATTGCTTATTCAATGAACTTATCAAAAACATGTGGTTTCTGAGGGGCTGATTACAAATTTGATATCCATTTCTTCAAAAAATAAAATGGCTGATCCAATATGACGAAAATTTGTCGTTCGGCTTTAATGGTTTGGGTAAAATTTAGTATTTAGATATTTATGGGGTCCCTGATTAAGAATTTGATATCCATTCAAAAAACAAAATTGCGGATTCAAAATTACGGACATGCGCAGTAGGTACAAGATGGTTGGATCTATGTGGAGTAGTTACATCATATAGACGCAGTAGTTTTCAGATGGATGGATGATTTGATCCATCCATCTGAAAACTACTGCGCCTATATACTACACTGAGAAAAAAAATGGGACAAATAAACTGTGTAGTTAATCCTTTTATTAATAGTGAATATATTGTTTATTACCTCTAAATAGTCGAAATAATAACGATAAATATAAATATATATATAAATATTTTTTTATTTGGGAGCAATAAACTTTTTTCTCAGTGTTACAGTTACATCTATAGATGTAACTACTCCACATAGATCCAACCATTTGATTCAAATGTGCGACATTTTCGGCGTAAAAAGTCTTACTTTATCAGTGTGGTCTTGGCACAATTTTTTTTTATTTCCAGTTTAAATTTATATAGAAAAAATATAAACGAATACGTATTTAATTGCAAATAATTTTTGTATTCATACATAGGTACTTTTACCACGAGAGAAACGAGACGAGACGAGAGAAAGGCACTCTCGAGCGAGAAAAGAGTATTCTCGACGAGATGAGAGACCCATTTTCTCTCGCTGCACGAGACGAGACGAGAGAAGGACTTTTCTCGTCTCGTCTCGTCTCGCGGCATCACTATTTAGGATAGTGTAAACTCATACATCGTTTTAAAAAAATACCAGCGCTTTTTGTAAATTAATTCTGATTTTAAAGGTTTTTAATAATTTTAAATAAATTAAATTTTAAATAATACAAACTCCAATTAATGAGTAAATTTATTAACTGGCAGAATTGACATTTGCACAAATAAGTCACCAATTAAAAGATGTCGAATCATGGCACTCTTATACAAAATATCACGTCACCCGCCACATGCACTAATACGTTTGAATATTACGCGCTTGACAGTCCTGTCACGCGCTCGAAAATGTTTAATATCTTCCGATCCAGAAGAGTCTCCACTGTTCTGAAAAATGTATTTTGTAGATAAAGAAAAAGCGCATAAAATAGTATTTTTTTCCTTTTATTTTATAGAGGGGGCAAACATGAAAAACTAGTTTAAAAAATTAATCTGTTATTAACTCCCTATACCAAAAAAAAAAAAAAATTAATTTATTTATTTGAAAAGCCTATTCAATAAGGTTTAAAACAAAAAAAAAACAAAATCGATCCGATCAGTAGAACCGGAGATAATGGGTTTTTTGTAGAAGAGAATTTATCGTTTTATCGCAATTCATAAAAACTTTATATCAACATATCTCTGAAAAAACAAATTTTTTACAGAAAACCTGATACACGTATCTGCTTATTTACTGAATAGAAGCGGTAAAAAAATTTTCATGCGAATCCAAACCCTGATGTCAAAATAGGTGTACGATTTGTAAAAGAATGTCTCATATAAATAAATTAATCCTGCATTTTGACCACGCATTTCAAGACTTTCCATATTAAGGTAAAAAAGTGCAGTTTCATAATCAAAATCTATTAAAGGATAATAGCCATTAATATTAAAAAACAAGTGTTTACAAAATCTCTTTTGAACTCTTTCAATATTATCAATATGAACAAAGTAAAATGGTGACCAAATAACACATGCATACTCAAATTTACTTCGAACAAATGCAAATAGCGTGAATATTAGTAAAGTGTTTAGACTTTCTAATCACAAACCCCAACATTCTATTTGCAGATGCAACTGTATTGTTAATGTCTTGAACAAATGAAAGTTTACCATCAAACAGAACACCCAAATCCCGCATTGTATCTACTCTATATGTATATATATATATTGATGGTTTTCCGGGATGTTCTCCGTGTTTTCGGTTTATGGTTCTTAACCTTCAATACATATAACGCCAGTCGAAACCTAAAGCTGAATATATATATATATATATATATATATATATATATATATATATATATTCAAATAGTTTTAAAGTTTCACTAATTTTTTTTAACTTTTATATTAAGAGCAATTATTTTTTATAAATAAAAATTTATATATTTATTAATTCTAAACGATCTTGTTTAATTTAAGGGCTATTTGTACCCACTTAATTAATTATTGAATTTTTTTATATGTAATTTGAGGCACTAATTTTAATTCTGTTTTGGGTTCTGCTTCCCAACAGATTTTCAAGAAATTTTAAAGCAAAAGTAAAATATCGCTAAATATAATATTTGAGGTTGAGTATTTTTTCTACACAAAACTGGTCCCATCTGAAAATACTACTTTTTTACAATTTTTGTAATAGGAGAAAAAAATTGGAAAATTTTAGAAAGGATTGTAAAGAGAAAAAGTATTACATATTCTCCATATCCAAATCTATTTTTTGAAATTTGTGGAACAGTGTTATTATTAATTAAAATTAATTTAAATATGGATGTATATAATTCCTAAACACTTTATCTTATTTATGTATTTTATAAAAAAATATTTAAACACAAACATTGTAATATTTTGCAAAGTGGTAATTTTTGCTGTTATTTTTTTGCAATATCCATGGTTTCCCTTAAGTCTATATTAAAGCTACCAAAAAAATTACTTACGGTTTTCGAAATGCCCAAACTATAGTCAAGACTTAAGGATGAGAAGTTTTGATTTATAGATTCAATATTTTTTATTTGTGTATTTTTATTTACATGGTTTAAAGCTGCATTTAATTCAATAAATAACGCATTTACTTTTTCTAGTTTTTTATCGTACAATTCTCTTACATCGCATATATGTTTAAGTTCCATTTGCCTTCGTTTAATTAATTGATCTTCTTTTAATTTATACTCTATTTGAAATTTTTGAAATTGTTCCACAAATAAATTTATTTTTGTTTTTATTTCCATTTTCCATTTTTTTTGGGACATAATAAATTCTTTTTCTTGAAATGTTGCTAATATTTCTACAGAAGCAATTTCTATATGGTTACAAATTAGTTTAAATGAAGGTCTCTCTTTGGGATTTATTTTCCAACACATGTTCATTATAAGTTTAAAACCATCTGGGCAAGATTCAGGAATATGTGGTTTAAGTTTTCCACTACCCACTGAATACATTATAGCACTTTGCTCTAATCCTTTATAAGGAATTTCACAAGTTAAAAGCTCCCATAATACAATTCCAAAAGACCATACATCCACCTTTTCGCTACAGGCTTGTTCTTTTATTACTTCTGGTGCCATCCAAGCAACCGTTCCAGCAAAAGTCATTTTTTCGCTTATACCATTAAAAGTTCTACAAGTTCCAAAATCGCTAATTTTTATTATTTCGTTGTCACCAATTAAGACACTAAAAAAAAGTATTTTATGTATTAGTTATGCTGCTATATTTAACTTGTATCAATAGTAAAATTATGTTTAATGAAGCTGGTATTTTTTTGTTAAAATTTGTTTTCTTAAATAGTTTTTATATAGTACGTTAGAAAACTGTGATATGAGAAATTGAATCACAATTTGTTTAGTGTTTGGGCTTGTATAATGGTAGTGCGTTTATAAGACGGCGACAGTGGAATGAGGAGTGGGATCAAATTGTGTTTAGTAATAAATCGTTTTATTATTTTTACTAGAGTGGAGCAAAAATCAACATCCCATTTTGTTTTATAAAAAAATTTCTTTCTTCTCTCTGTGTTATGTGTAAAAAGTGCGTGTACAGAGATTGGATTCAGTTGGATTATATTTGGAGGTGCCCCAAGTAATCCAAATAGGAATTAAGATTGTATTTAATTTAAAATAACAGTATAATATTTTATTTTGACATTTTTTGAATGAAATAAACTTTTCTTAACTTTGTTGTTTATTTTTAGATCTATGGAACGCCGTTTTACTATTTAATAACATAGCGCAAATGGTTATGTTAAATAGTAAAACAGCGCGCGCCAATTTGATATTTATTTTATCTTTAATAGTTATCAAACGTTTTACTATTTAAATAAGTTGCAATTGTGCTGTATGGAAAAAAGTAAAGCTTTTATAGAGAAACGTTATATATTATACATAGTTTTGGCAAATATCGTTTATTGCAAAAACTCAAAGAGTTTTGGCAATTATCGTATATTGTAAAAAATCAAGAGTTGTATGTAGCTATTCACATTAAAAGGTGTCACTAATACTTTTGTAGACTTGCAGGTTATCGTATAAATAGTTATTGCAACACTCGTGTGTTGAAAAACATTATTAATTAAAAGAATATAAAAGTTAAAATACTTTTTGCAATTGTCATAGATTGCAAAAACTCACTTTGTAATTGTTAAGGTTTATGCGATTGTGCTTTATGGGAAAAAGTAAAGCTTTTATGGAGAAAAGTTAAATATTATACATAGTTTTAGCAATTATCATATATTGCAAAAACTCAAAGAGTTTTTGGCAATTATCGTATGTTGCGGAAACCCAAAGAGTTGTATTTAGATTAAAAGACGTCACTAATAGTTTTGGAGACTTGCAGATATTGTATAAATACTTATTGCAACACTTGAATGTTGAAAAAACTTAAACTTTACTTAAAATACAAGTATTGCATTCGACTTTTGACAATATACGAATGTTGTAAAAAGTTTGGCAGACCTGTCTAGGGGAAACAAAAAACACTAGATTTAAGAATTTTAAGGTGTTGTCTCTGGTAAGACGGTGCAGTGCGCGGCAGGTTAGCCAACCGTTGGCGGGAATATGTGTTGTTCTATGGTTGGTTCCTAATCTATAATAGACCTATCCCATAAAACAGACTTTTGGATAGCGCGTGCCTGAAGAAGAGTGGTATCTCTTTCTCTTTTATATAATTAAAAAAAGACGACCTGCCTTTTCACGCACGCGCTATCCAAAAGTCCGTTTTATGGGATAGGTCTATACCTAAGTGCTCATTCATAATGGACGTAACCATAAGATGCCCGTAAGAAATACGTAAAACGTAAAGTTGAATATTAACAAAACCTGTTTATAATGAATAGCCGTAACTTTTACGTTTTACGTTCGAACATAAGGTCTTATGGGTGACCGTAAAAAATACGTAAAGTTGAAATTATCTCAACTTTACGGGTTTCTTATGTGTGAATTTTAGTAACTTTCATGATTTCACTAGAACATTGTTGGTAGCAATCAGGGTAGTAGCCATGCAAACAGATGACAGATCTTTTTTAAGTGTATTCTGGAGTATCCACAGAACAAACAATCTAAAGAACCATTCCTTATCCTAAAGTTTTAGTTCGAGTATTATTCGATGAAATTCGCCCTTTTTTCTTCTCTTTGCCAACGTATATATAGCTCATTACACTAAGGTTATGATAACACTGATAGTTTTAACTTAATTTATATTTATAATTATAATTATTTTGTCTTAAAACTTTTAAGTTTTAAGACATAATAATTAGACGAAATCTGTCAATGCTGCCATTTTAGTGAACTTAGACATGCGCGCCTTATTAATATATACATAAGGCATACGTTCATTATAAACACAACTCATCGTTACGTACAAATTATGGTGATATTATGTTTACGTTTTACGGGCATCTTATGGTTACGTCCATTATGAATGAGGAACCAACCATAGAACAACACATATTCCTGCCAACGGTTGGCTAACCTGCCGCGCACTGCACCGTCTTACCAGAGACAACACCTTAAAATCCTTAAATCTAGTGTTTTTTGTTTCCCCTAGACAGGTCTGCCATACTTTTTACAACATTCGTATATTGTCAAAAGTCGAATTCAATACTTGTATTTTAAGTAAAGTTTAAGTTTTTTCAACATTCAAGTGTTGCAATAAGTATTTATACAATATCTGCAAGTCTCCAAAACTGTTACTGACGTCTTTTAATGTAAATAGAACTCTTTGGGTTTCTGCAACATACGATAATTGCCAAAACTCTTTGAGTTTTTGCAATATATGATAATTGCCAAAACTTTGTATAATATTTAACTTTTCTCCATAAAAGCTTTACTTTTTCCCATAAAGCACAATCTCATAAACCTTAACAATTACAAAGTGAGTTTTTGCAATCTATGACAATTGCAAAAAGTATTTTAACTTTTATATTCTTTTAATTAATAAGGTTTTTCAACACACGAGTGTTGCAATAACTATTTATACAATAACCTGCAAGTCTACAAAAGTATTAGTGACACCTTTTAATGTGAATAGCTACATACAACTCTTAGACTTTTTACAATATACGATAATTGTCAAAACTCTTAGAGTTTTTGCAATATATGATAATTGCCAAAACTATGTATAATATTTAACTTTTCTCTATACAAGCTTTACTTTTTTCCATATAGCACAATTGCATGTCATTAAATAGCAAAACGGCGTTCCATATAGATCTATGTAATAAGGCACTTCTTTGCTGCGTTTTTTTTTATTTTAAGTTCCCGGCTAGTTTCGGCTTAGGTTTAAGCCATCTTCGTCGGGAACTTAAAATTAATAAAAACCCAGCAAAGAAGTGACTTATTACATAAACCTAAAAATAAATACTACTACTGCTATGGAACATATAATTTAAAATATATTGTTGTTTATGTATTAATAATAATACAGTATTATATTATTTCGTCCTATTAATATTATTTTTTTGCTACAGTTATAAAAAAACAAGTATAAGTTCAAGCAAAATCCCAACTAGAAAATCTTTTATTTGTCCTTTGTCCTCCGAGATGTCTCCGGTAGTACTTTTCACAAATTCGGATATACTTTAATAATTTCTCTTTATCAAAAATAGGACATAAACTGGTATGGCAAACGAGGACCTACCTGCTTCAATAATTTTAACAAGGGTCGCAAAGACGTTTGAAAGAAATGTTTTATTTTTACAATTTTACATAAGAAAATAGTTAAAAAGATAACCAAACTTAATAATGATTACAAAAAACTTTTTAAAACAATATAAGGGTAAAAGAAACTGGACGATCTAAAGGGCAAGTGGAGTAAACTCTTTTTGACATTGCCTACTGCAAATGCAAAAAACTTAAACTTATCTTGATGTTCCAAAGAAAGAAAGGTCCCATTTAAGGAAGAACTATTTTAATCGATCAGCAAAGTAAAAGAAAGATGATGATAGAACCAATCGTCAAGAAAGCAGCTGGAAAAAATAAAAAAGACAGATAAAATGAGAGTAGAAAAATCCAAACCCACTCTTTGGTTATGAAGAGTAGATCATTCTACCAGGAGGTGCTTGACTGAGAGGGTTTCTCCACAGCCATCGCATCCAGGTCTCCGCCATCTAGAATGTAAGATTTAGTAGCCTTGATATGACCCAAAAAAGTTAATATATCAAATAATAGTCAAATATCAATACTTCAACCTGTTATACTCAAATTTATAAAACAAAGTTGCTTCTTCGAATATTTACCCTTTAAAAATTGTTAAATTTTAAATTAAATTATCACCAGCGTCCCCTGTACGTTGAAATCTAAACAAAATTTTTTCATGAATTAATTTTCATTAGTAAGATCTACATTTTGTCCAAATTTCAAATCGATACGTTTCGAAATAAAAAAGCAGTACGTTTCGAAATAAATTTAACTCAGTGAAGAAAAAAATAAAAATAAAAACAAGGTTGTCAATGGACGTTTTTTTTTGAAAAAAGTAATGCATTTAGATTTAGAAATAATGTAAAAAAGTTTCAATCGATTTCTTGAACCCGTAAATTTTGATGAGGTCAAAATTCATTTTTGGGTCATTATTTAAAAAAGGGGATATTTGTGTCTCCAGCGACTTTCTTAACTTTGTTCTAGTAAAATTAAAAAAAAAACTTTTCCTAAATAGTAAAAGCTTATAAGTGCTTGCTGGGCCTTACCTAATATATTATGATTTTATTTTTAGTCTTTATTTTTATTCTACAAAGTGCCATTTCTCACGTTCGTAACGTGTCCCCAGGCAAAGGTTGCAACATATCGACTAATTTTTTTTAGACTTTCTCATATCCTATTAAAAGAAAAACATGTGGAAAGTCTAAAACAACTCAAAATCTTGAAAAAAATGCATTTTTATATATATTTTTAAATTGCGTTTTACAAGAGATATATAAAATGTCCCCAGCTTTTACATCACCGCCGTAACGCAAAACATTATTTCAAACGACATTTATAAAAGAGAGGGGGAAATTCTTATTTACTGCTGTAAGACCGGTCCAGAGCAGTGCTCGGATATTTGAAACCCTGTATAGGCTTACTCTGTCTTGCTTTCAATAATTCACATAGCTCGCCGCAGGGTAAAGTTTTTGATGCACGATTTTGATGATTCTATAATGCAACATTTTTTTTTTCAAAATCTTTAGAAATTTTTAAAATTTCTGAATT